AACGTATTTAACCCTAAAAAATAATTAAAAAAATATCACATAGACTGTCACGTAGGCAGCTAGAGAGAATCTTTGCTGCAATGTGGCAATCAGGAGGGTATTTGAGAGAATCTAGAAGTTGCTAGGGGGAATTACATTTTTTTTACCAGAGACTAAAACAAAATCTCGCTAATATTATAGGGAATATTATATATTTAACCCGCTTAATAATACTATTACTTTTGTTGAATTTATTTAATTTGTTAGTACCATGATTTTAGGATTGGTATAATTTTGCTAAAATATAGTTTGCAACATAATGTTATTGAAGATGTTCTAACATACTGGTCAGATTCATTTGAAGGCATATGTTCTGACAAATGTTATAAAATTATGTATCAGAATATCAATACAGGCTATTTTTTGTCTTGACAAATTTAAATTGATCCTGTGAGATTCCTTTTGATTTAATCTCACTGATTTTTCGTAGGACAAGAATATCTAATATGGAACATTTGATTTATCTCCAACTGTACACAGGTTTCCAAAATTGGGCTTTGAGACAATTTAGGACACCTTGTGTTTTATTCCAAGATTTAAGGAGATTTTTCTGCACAAATTGGTGCAACCCCAAGCGTATGCAACAAGAAATATATAAGCGCAGATTCAAGGCCCATGAATCTCTGAGGAGTATTTAAAGAAATTACCTAGACCTAATTTCATTAAGAACTTTGTAAAAAAAAAGGGGAAGCCTATTTTTATTAGTCTTAGGGTTTGAGGGTTCTTCAAAGGAGTTTCTATTTTTGTACGTCCTCATGTATCTTTTGATGCATTTGAGTTGACTGATTGTTACTTGTTTATCAAGTTATTGTTCTCCTCTAAGCTTTTAAGAAAAAAGTTGAGTATTGTTCTTAGTTAAGCTTTTAAGCAAAACTAAGTATTTTGGTATTTGAAGAGTAGTCTTCTTTTTGGTTTCTTGAGACATTCTCTGAGATTGAGATTGTTTGATATCACTTTGGTGATTTGAAGTGAGAGGGGATTGTCATTGAATGTGAGAAAAACACAAGAAAGGGGGGGGGGGGGGGGGGGGGGGGGGGGGGGTGAATTGGGTTTTAAATAAAAACTTTTCTTTTAAAAATATTCCCCTTTAATTAAAATACTTTTTCCTTCACTCTTGATAATAACAATAATTAAGAATAAGTAAAGAACACATAATATTTATACTAGTTCACTTGAAAAATATTAAGCTAGTCTAGTCCACCCGCCAAGGTGATTTTTCCTCTCCCAATTGAGGACTTAATTTAATAATCCAACTGATTATTACAATGCACAAGCTACCTGCAAGTGACTAATAACCTCTAAGACACACAAGTCATAGACTTCTTAAGGATACAGACCTAATCGATCCCTTAAGGAGAATCAAACCTATAAGACATACTAGTCCTAGACTTTTTAAGGATACAAACCTAACCGGTCCCTTAAGAAAATCAAACAACTGTTTGAATACAAGTTTTGTTTACAATAATATTGCTTCTATACAAGATGAATATGTAAACTATTTTAAGAACAATAGACTAAAAATGTGAAAGCTATGAACAACACTTGTACGTGGATATTCATTGAAAATTCTCCGCTTTCTCTCTTAGTCTTCAAGCTTTTATATAGTCAATAAAGTAATATATCTATTGAGGGGTACTCTTGAGATTTCCAGAAATATTAGCAGCTTGAGCAATGACATGGGATACAATATCGTGTAGCGCATCCGTCCTTTCATGGCAGTGGAATGAAACGTTGATTGTACCATGTACTATTTGTACCACGTTAATGTTATCTTGTTTCCTTCTGCACTTCAGAGGCTTCTGCGAGCATGAGTTTAGAAGCGAGAACATAACACAAGGTTATCAGAACTTCAAGTCTTCAGATTCTTCATAACTGTGTCTTCAGAATCTTTAGCACTTGGTCGTGAGAACCTTTTCTTAGAATCTTGGGTCTTCAGAATTTCAAGTCTTTAGAGTCTTTAGAACTTTTGCCTTCAGAGTCTTTAGCACTTGGTCTTTAGAACCCTTTTCTTGGAACTATGAGTTTATAGAACTTCAAGTCTTCAGAGTGTTTATAACTTCGTCTATCAGAATCTTCAACACTTAGTCTTGAGAATACTTTGTCTTCAGAAACATTAGTCTTCAGCATCTTGACTTAAGTAGAAACTTCTATCTTCAGATCTTCTGACTGGTTTCTTTAGACTTCATATCAGAGCCTACACTTTAGAGTCTTCTAGAGTGTATTTCTATTGTTCATCAGAACTTGTGTAGCATAGAAGATAAACTAATTCTCTTCCAATATCTTGGCCACACCATCCATCATAAGTAGAACTTGTTTGTTAAATACTCAAAAATAACAAACATTAGAGTATCAAAATTATTCATACAAATATACTTATTTGTTATCATCAAAACTCAAAGATAGTGTTGCAGAACCAAATCTTGTTCTAACAATCTCTCCCTTTTTGATGATGACAAAACTATGTACTTTGATGACACAATTTTGTTCATATAATCAAAAAAAGTGAAAATAAAAAGTTAAAGAATACTTATCCTTTTTATAAAACTCCCCCTGAGTCAATGACTTGATGAAGCTCGAATATCCTGACTCAACCATTTGAGTAAAAACTCCACCTGGTTTCGATAGATCAGATATTGAGATCTTGAGAGTCATTGAAATCTTGAAACTTTAATTTCACTAAGACCCCTTCTAGATTCTCAATTCTTGGAGTCTGGTTCTAGATTTCTATTCTTGGATTTCAGATCTTTGTCTTTAATCAGAGTTCTCATTTTCTGAAAAAGAAAACAATTCTAACAGAAACAGAATTTTAACTGGGTTACAATGTAAGTTACTCTTTTCAGAGAACTTTTTCCAGAACTTGATTATTGAAATCAAAATTACGTTAATTAATTACTCCCCCTTTTTACAATAATCAAAAAGGTAATTATATATGAAAAACATAAAAAACCAGAAGAAAATAAGAAGTTTCATTGATATTTCAAAACGATTACAACAGAAGGAGAAACAACAAACTGAAGACAAATAAGGGAAACTAGCTAAACTTCAAACACATCAAAACTCTCATCAAATAGAGCATTGCCTCTGATGAACGGGTTTCTACGAACAATTTCAATTACACCAGCTAACTCAAACAGTTCAGACAATACACATCAACATTCATGCAGGTGTTGGGTAACAGTGGACTTTGGATGACTACATTAATAGAGGAGTGAGTGATGGTAATCAGAATACCAAAAATATGAGACTGAATGAAGTTTTCATCAGGACTAACAAAAGCATGAAGCCAAAAATTCTTCACAAGGTTAGGATAAATAGGACCTCTAAGCATTGTTGCATACCAAGACCATCCTTGATTTTCAATAAAACCGTTGATGAAACCATCATCAGACACATAATTGGGTCTTTTCTCTTTGATTACTTCGAGAAGGATTTCATCTCCTTGAAAGGTTCTAACAACCATGGTATGCAGATGAAGGAACTGGGCAAAACTCATCGGATAAAAATAAATGAAGTCGCCATCGAACATCTATTTATCTCACGAAGGAGAAAGGGAAATATCAAAGAAAACCTAAAAGGGATAAATCAGTCTTTCAACCAAGAAATCTGGTAAGGGAGTCGGTTACGCAAGGGGAAGGTGTTAGTACCCCAAACGTCTGTAGTACTCTACAGTATCTACTCTTGTTGTTTAGCTAATGGGTGTGTAAGAATCTATATCTAAATTATACAAGGTATGTATGTAAAAGAAAGAAGAAAAAGTGTGGGGAAAATAAAGAAGTATTTACAAATTTTGCTCGGTTAGGCCCTTACAAAATCCTCCGTCTACGTATCCCTTTTAAGGAATCAGAGCAGTCGTAGTTCGACTCAACAGTTTTGGTATGTTTGTACTTTTTATGGAACAACATCAATTTTGCATTCTACCCGCAGCTCGACCTTTGGAGAATCACACATCTGGAGTAGAAAGGAATTAATGTGCTCAAAAAGTGCCCGAAGGCGGATAATGCTATTATCTCAACTCGTAGCAAGTAGACATAGTGCAAACTGACCCTTGGGGAATTACACGTCGTATTGCATAGGGTGGAAGACAACACATCCAGTTTGAAATTGAAAATCCAAAAGGAAAGAAAGAGAAACTTGAATTTTATTGTATCTTTTACCTTTACGAAAGGATTTTGAGTTTATTAGAGGCGTTTTAAAGATTTTCCAAGAAAGAGTGTATTTTATGCACATGAAAAGTGGGAAAAAAGGAAGAGTCTACGGGGGACTAATCTATTTTTTAAGCCTAGAGTTATCATACAAAGATTTGCCTTAGGGTTCGGACCAAGGTTTTCTAGGAACCAACTCATCCGAGAAAGAACCATCCTAGTTGCTATTCGGATTAAACCGCAAGTCTTAAGGGAGCATGGCAAATGGAAGAAAGCAAGTACAAAAGGTACAAAGAGATAAGCGCGTAGGAAAAACTAACAAAGGGAACAAACTCATCCTCGAGAGTGAACCACGGAAAATAATATCCAAGTATTTTTGTCCTTTTTATGCTTGTGCAACAAGTAAAATAAAGAGGGAACAAACTCATCATCGAGGGTGAATCGAACTAAGCCTTAAAGGAACATCCATCCGGGTATGAACCAGGCGCACAAAGTTATTATTTCTTTCTTTGTATTTTGACATAATTGTAAATGACAAAAAGTAATGCAAACCGAATCCACTTGGAACAAACTCATCGTCGAGAATGAATCCAAGATCAAGTATCAAACTCATCATCGAGAATGACACAACAACATGCGAGAAAATAAACACACGTGCAGAATTGCCTATTCAAAGATAGGGCTTTAAACAATCACAATTATCATACAGAAATTGGTACCTGCTACAGGACTTTAAACAGCGACTTCGAGCGCACGCTATTTATTTCCTACTTCTCATGATATCTAGAAAGCGATAAATGCCCCTACTATACATGATCTCTAGGAAGCAGTAAATGTAATATTATAACAAATGACCTGAAACCATACCAAACAGATAATAAGAATTCGTAAAGTAAACTCAACGAGTTTAAGAAACTCGAAAGGCGCCGCACGCTAGCATCAACAATAAACAGTGTTAGAAGCATGAAAAATATGTGCAAGTAAAGCGCATCCGTCACCAAAGAGATTGGTATCTAAATTGGCTTCTCAAAGTATGCACATCTCACAAAGCTTATTAGTAGATAACAACAAAATCAAATGCAATAATAGAAATTAGTAATAGGTATAAAAAATGAAACATGAATATGTGCAAGGAAAAGCAAACAAATCGAAGGAGCATAACATAGTATTCCCAGGAAGCAACTTTATACTCATGAAAATGAGTACAAAAAGTGGTTTAGAAACATCCAAACTTGTTACTGGTATAAAAGAATGCTCAATTAAGTACATCAATGTGTTATTCACAAGTCAAAACTCAATGCATATGTAAAATACAAGTTCCGGATTTAAATATTTATTATGAATCGATTTAGAAATTAAAGTTTTAGTGCATTAATCTTGAATATTAACATGAGATAGTTATCTGCAACTTGCACATGAACATGTCACCTCAAGATTGATCTAAAAATAAAGAATTAAAGTCCTAAAACCACATGAATTTAATGTATCAGATTTTAACCAACAAATTGCAAATTAATTCCAATTCACGAGTTTATGTATTTATGCCAAAAGTGTGATGAGTGAGAATCAACTCACAACTTGTGAAACTCAAAGGTTGTGAATCAAAATATATTCCAATACACTAAATTCACAAAGTTCTCAAAATTAATGGAAACCAATTGATATTACTTGACCTCAAAGTATAAACCGACACACAAAAATTACGTCACAAGTCAAAAATGAAACACAAGATAATATACAAAAAACTTGAATCGAAAAGCTAGAAAACTAATCGAAAAGCATCCGAAATCAACCGCAAAAATTAAGGTCACATAGAAACATGCCAACGGTTCCGAAAATAGACTCGGTTCGGCCAAATTTCATTTCGAAGTATGATTTTCGAAACTGGTACAGTAGCAGAAAAATGGAGCGAAATTTATCCGAATCGAAAAAGTACTCGCGGAAAGAGTTCCAGATGGCTCAAGAAACTCGGTTTTCATTAAAGTAAGTCGGAAAAACTCTTCACGAATCAAAAGTTAAAGCAAAAACAACAATTATATCAAACTTTGTCATTTTTCAAGTTTTGAGGCATTTTCCACCAAACTCAATTCAACTTTTTTCAAATGTGTTTTCAATGGTATTTGAGTCTATTAGAACTTGCCTCAACTCATCAAAATGACAAACAACAAGTATCCATAAAGAAATGGAAAAAAAGGTAGTTTATGTCAAGAATTAGTAACTTGAAATTATGTATAAAATGTATGTCAAATGCACCAAAAATCACAACCAAAACATTAAAGTTTCTTAACATCAACACATTAAAGAAAACTATTAGCATCCAATTTTCCAACTCATGAGTTTATGTCATCATTTTGGATCAATTTGCAAGTTCAAGAATTCACCACAAACTCATGAATTAAAATATTTAATGCCAATTTTTCTCAACATTTTGATATCAAGAAACTTGAGCAGTCAAAGAATTAGCATTAAACTAAACTAACGTTAGTTTATGTTCAAACTTTAACCAAGAATTAGTACCTAAATTAACCTAAAAGTTAGTGTGCACTAAATTCTACATCTAGTCAATCATAAGTTCAAGAATTAATCTAAATTGTAAATCAAAACTCAATTCTGGGTTCCTTTGTGGAATTAAAGCAAACACCTAGTGTGCACAAGTTACATTAAGTTTCTACACCACAATCTAAATTCAAGAACCTAATCAATTCCAAAATTCAATCTAAACTAAGTCTCTAATTCAATTTTAGAATTATATAAACTATGTTATCTAGTCCTAATTATGTACAATTCACCAAAATCAAACTACAAAATTCAAGAATCAATGTAGTTAGTGATTACCTCTTGAAGCTCTTGAAGAAGATGAAGAGGAAAGGAAGATGATAATGCTGACCGGAGAGAGGAGCGACAGAGGGAGTGCGTGACGGAGAGAGGCGGAGAGCGGAGGGAGCTAGAAGAACGATCGCGATCGCCGCTAGGATAGAGGTGGAGGGAGATCGCGTGTGCGATCGGAGAAGGAGGGAGACATGAGCGTGTCTGATACGGCGGCAGGAGCTGCCCGGAAAAGGGGGAGAATCACACTAGAAATAGCGACAGAGGGAGTATGGAACGTGAATGGTGCGCGAATGGAGCGAAGACAGTATGGCGCATGGAGGCGTGCGAAGATGGAGGTAGTATGGCACACAGAGGCGCACGAAGGCGGAGGGAGTATGGCGCATGTATGAAGTTCGACGAGGGAGAGAGGAGGAAGGAGGTTGATGGTGGTGGTTGGGCTTTTTGGTCTTGAGAGAAGAGAGAAGAGAGAGGGAAAGAGTGATGTTTGAAATTATGAGAGCTCCCTTTGCAATTGTGTGCAAATTTGAATATATAGTAAATGTGAAAATAAACAAGTTTTCAGTTTACCCGCAGCTTAAATGAAAATTACACTATGATCCGCGAAAATTCCCGAACACTGGCCTCCTAAGAAATTGTCCGCCTCTGAGTCACGGACGTCACCCAAAAAGAACAGATGTTTTATGATAAAATTTGAGTGATTTCGATACGTTTAAGCGGCGAGACGTCACTGCCAAAAATTAATTAAGTCAAAATATCAGCTTATTTGACCTCTGTTACTCGAACAAGCCACAAGGTCGTGCCCGAAAAATTAAAATATTGTCTGAGATTTTCCATTATAAATATGGATCTCCAGGTCCCTAACGTCGTGTCAAAAAATGAGAATAGTATGATAAACGATGAATTTGTTATGAATTTTTTAGTAATGCGACGTCCAGTTCCTTTTTACCGGTCTGAAAACTCTTATTTGCGGAATAAACCAATAACGAGGGTCATCGGGCTACCGTTTGCTTTAAAGATATCAAACAAAATTGAAGTAGACTAAATTTTGAGCCAACTCTTTGAGAACCGACGCAATACAGTAAAAATTGAGCGAGTTATGAATTTTGGAATATTGGATGTCAACCTGACAGGTTCCAAATTCTGCTCAAATATCTTTCAGAAACTCAAAATTCCCACCACTTCCCTTGTAGAATAAGCTCAAAGTCTTAAAAGACGGAATCAAAATAACATCGAGACGGAATTTTGGGCACTAGAATAGTGCCCATACGGTAATCCAGCTGGGAGTTATAAATTTTTTAGTGTGCAAAAACTGCACTTTCTGCACACTTTTTCAGTATTTCACACTGTTTGAACTCTGACAGATTCACGTATTCGGGGATCATCCCTTGAGAATTAGCCTTAAGTCCGAACATGAAAGTTGGAGAGAATGTCGAGAATAATTTAATGGAAAAAGAACCATCTCAAGGTGGTAAACCAAATCGGAGTTATAAATTTCTGAATACCACAAATATCATTGATCGGTAACCCGAGAACTCAGTAACAGAATTATTTGAGCATCTTAAACACATAATTGGCTCCTATCCCGAACACATAAAATGAAGATAATATCCATACAGACCTGGTGATAAAGTACCAGCTCAAAATAATACTCTAGCTTGGAGTTAGAAATTTCTGAAGTTTGCTGCACTGAAACGGGTTTTCAACCCGAACTGTCTCAAATTGGATGAAAACTATGGCTCACATCTACCACTTGAGACATGGTAGAATACATTTTAATTACTCATGATAAGGAATTTTCGTTCACTTCCTGGGTGGCTCGCATAAATCTCTGAGCGCCTCCGGTAAACAGTCGAACAGAAATTCCCTGATCCCATAACAACACGGCTACTGATATGCATATATGTATATGATAATGCAATATAAGCCAAAATGAAGTTGAAATAAAGAGGGTAAATTTTGGGGTACAACAGCTGCCCCTATTCAAAATTCTTAAACCTAAAGCGAGATTGGCAACATCAGCCTTTCGAGCGATAAGGTGGAAGGAGATTGAATACAAAATAATAAACTCAAAAATTTGCACTCTGAATTGAGACGACATATATCAACATAAGGTATAATTCTGAATGGCTTCTTAACAATGGACCAAAGAAAAAAGTTTATAGGAGAGAAGGATCAAAGGCCGTGGAACTTGATCCAAATATGCTAATAACGATTAGGCTTTATAGAATGCTAGAATGCGACATTCCGAGAAAAAGTACGCGAGTAATGACTCAACTTCACAAAATGTCAGAACGCTGCATTCTGAGGAAGAAAGGTATCAGTCGAGAGATGCTAGTAACGAATAGAATTCACAGAATTCCAGAATGCTACATTCTGAGAAAAGGGAAAGACCGGAAGATGCTAGTAACAAATAGACTTCACGGAATGCCAGAACGATGTATTCTGAAAAAGGTAAGGACCAAAAGATGCTAGTAACGACTAGACTTCATAGAACGCCAGAACACTGCATTCTGATAAAGAATAAAGGCCTTACGCTGGAAGACTAGTAACAACCAGAATTCACAAAATACCAGTAACGACGGGTCTCAATCAAATTGGAAAAGTGCCTTTCTGAACCAAAACCCATTGGCATGTTATTGAAACATTGGGTGATCGAGTGAAGGTGCGAGTAACGACCCGACCTTAAGAGTACTTCAAAGAATGTGCCATACTAGATCACAACCAAAACCAAGAGTAACGACTCCTACTTTAAAAGGAACTATTAGCGACTAGACCTTGATGAAGTATTCCTCAGGATACCAATAACGATTGGATCCACAAACAAGGTGAACACCTGATAATCTCGAACCCAGAAGAAGTAGTAATGACTGACCCTAACCAAGGAATTACATAGATGAAACGAGAAAAATATTAATCTGACTCTATAGAACATAGTAATGACTAGACTCAACCAATACGAAATGAATGCCAGAATGCTGTATTCAAAAATCAGGTGACAAGTCGCGAACTTGACCTTGGTAGGAATGGTATTTACCAACCCACAATGTTGCACTAGGGCGAAGCTAACAACAACAAGGAAAACGAGTAATGACTCGATGGGGAATACTAGTAATAACTATACTACTTAGAATACTAGAAAGTTGTATTCTGAAAAAGATACGCGAGTAACGACTCAACCTCAAAGGTGATGATAACGACCAGACCAAAAGAAACAGTTACGCCAGGACAAAACTGGATCATAACAAATCCAATGAGTAGCGACTCGGAAAAGGATGACATCGGATAAGAACTAGGAACGTCTAGCCCGAAAATGAAGGTATGTCAATAACGATTGAACACGACCCACAAGGACCTATACGGAGATAGGGAATTTCCTTATGCAAGGGGCAAGAAGGGGACCGACTTACACAAAGTAAGGGATCAGAGGAGAAAACACATACGACAAACCCACGATTATATGTGCGGAGTTAGTAGAGGACATAAGGAAGATATTTGGTACATTCCAAGTAAAAGTAGACATATACAAACAAGGAAGAGACCGACCGAAGAAGTCTCTAACAAGGAATGCTTACCGCAAATAGACTCTTGTAGAAAGAACACTGATTGAAGGCGAACTGGGGATAAAATATATGTGTTTGGTCAAAGTTAGACACATATAATATATATACCGACCAAAGTAGACTCTTAACAAAGGATGCCTGCACAAAGGGCTTTTACTATGTTGAAAATGCGCAAGAACTACAATATCCCTCAGGCCAGAAGTGATGTGTAATTCTTCAAGAGTGGCAATTATCTGAATTGCCACACGTTAAGCATTATATACTCAAATACTCGTGCAATAAGAAAGATTATACGCTGAACCTCAGTCGTACTCAGAAGGCACAACAAACACGGGTAAAAATAACCAAGGGCTTGCAAGGGCAAGGGAAAACCATGAATTACTGGGGAAATGGAAAGCACCAAAGACTCGACTAGTAGTAAATAAAACAGACTCCATTGGGGAAACAAAATAGGATCACCCTAAGCTTGCTTTGGAGATAATTCAAATCTGAGCACATAAGAATTTTGTTACCACAGGTAAACATAATTGGCTTAAACCTTAATGCATGTTTGAATTTTTTATAGCGTAATGCTCCATACAATGGAAATGCTACGCGTTTTGGTAGATGCAATATAATAATGCATGTTTAGCAATACATTTGGGAGAGCACGCCAATAATCAGTTTTCGAGAAAATCAGGAACTTCCGGAAGATTATTGTTGTACCCCAAAATTTTCCCTCTCATTTTATCAAGACTTTTCTCACAAGACTTCTTTGACTCAAGACAAAGTTAGGGTTTGGTCAGCTCAAGACATCTCATCTTGCACTGATACCCCAAAATTAGGGTTTGAGTTTGCACAAGGATTTTTGGATCACCAATGCTTCATATGACTTTCATACATCATCTTGGACCCCTAAGATTTCTCATGATAATCACATTTTGGATCAGTCAATTGGACAGTTGACCTAAAAATCAGCTGTATTGGGGAAAAAGTCAACCATGGCCAATTTACAGTCCAACTTCATAATTTTTTATCCATATCAACATTTTAGACTCACATATACCATTTGATCAAGTTTGGATCACAACTCCTCAAGAAATTTGATCAAATCATCAAAAGGGAAATATGGTCAAAATTAGGGTTTTGACTGAGAAAGGGCAATTTCTGATTTTTAACCTAGCCAATGACCAATTGAGTTCAAACATGATTCCAAGGGTTCAATGGCACCATCTTGACCTAATTACATGGTTCAAAATATCTCAATTTCATTGGATTGACAGATGAATTTTGCAGTCAACTGATCAAAAGTCAATTGTACACTGAAAAGTCAAACTTTGACTTTTTGGTCAAAATCAAGTGCCAAGGGTCATAATTCATCAAGATGTGTCAAGATATGAAACTTGTTCACCAAGAAACTCAAAATTGAAAATTAGGGTTTTAATTTGAAAATTTTCATAACTTAGAATTTTTCTAAGTATAAAAATTTTCTTATTTTTTCCCAACTTTTCACCACTTTTTCACCATGATGCATTTTGATTCAAAGAAAACTTACATCATGGAAGTTGTAGTCCTCCATGAAATCTACAACTTTTCTTCACAAACTTTTCCCAAAAGATGCTTGGATCTCAAGTTATGAATTTGTGAATATAGGTCCATGAACTAAATAACTTAGTGAAATTTTGTCCTAATTTAGGCAGGTTTTGGACCCAACTTCATGGACATTTTTCACCTAGTTCCAAGAGGTATCTCAAAATGAATTTCAAATATGGATTATAGATCACATTGTAAGCTTTCCAAAATGTCCAAGAACTCTCCAAGATCATTTTTGAGTAGGGAGAATCGAAGAAGGGAAGTTGGCATTTTCTCACTTTTGATCAAGCCATTTTTATAAAGCATCAAGTTGCAAATCAGATCTATGATGGTTGTATCTTGCTTTACAGGTCCTAAGCTCACTTTACACTCCATAATTAAATGCAAACTCAGTTGAAAAAGGCATTATCTTTGCTTTTGAAGCTTTGAACAAGAGATAATTCCATTTTAGGCATAAAGTTCACATTCCCATTTTCATAAAGATGAGCTTTTGTAACTTTATCAATCTTGAGCATTGAACCTGTTTCCCTGGTGCAAGCAATGTACGCAGGTCTCAAGGAAATTGTACAAGTGCATTTCAGCTCTTAAGCAATCAAGGACAAGCATGTAAATATGGTCACTTCACTTTACTTCAAATGCAAGGAAAGTTGCCAAAAGGTCCAAAACTTGTACAGCTAGTAAGGGCTGACTTTTGTATCATTTCTATACAAATATATAAACTTATTGCAAGGCTTGACACGATTGGATTGAAGATGAAACACTCTAAAACTTAAAAACACTAAAATTCTGTCCAAAAACTCAGAATCTGCAAAACCATAGCCAACTCTTATTTGGCTCGTGCGTTTTATGCTTAAACACTTCAAGCATCTCATAAACATCATACCAAAGCAATCCAAGCCATCACCCTGGTTCTGTAACCCCTGTTTCAGCATCCACCATTTTCACTTTGGAAGCTTGCAACTTGACTTGTGCAGAGAGTTCCAGCCATCCTCAAAGCAAGATAAGCATTGGAATAGCTTCAGGGAAGTTCAAGGAAGCTCAAACAATCCTCGAGCCTCCATTAAAGTCCCTACATTGCTCTAATCAAATCCAACTGAAGGAGGTATTTTCTTGAACTCTATCTCTCTGAATAGGCATCCTTAAGCCACGATTTGTGAAGAAAAAATGTAGTCCATGTCATAATGAAACTGTACATATCCATACTTTTCATTTATATTAACTATGCTAAGAGAATTTGTAGATTGAATATGCTGAAATTTTTAGGTCACGAATTAGGGGTTCCAAAATTCTCTCTGATCTTTGAGAGATAGGTTACAAAATTTATATTGTTGGAATCGTGAGCTCAAATGCCACATGTTTCATGTTATGAGTTTTTGTTTTTGTGCAAGCATGTGAGAGTTACAGGTTTGAACATAAAGCGCGTGCAGGGAAGACTGGCTGGAGGACAGGGGTGAAACCCTGGGCTTTTTGGCGCCTTGGGCCCTTTTTGTTTTCACTATTTGCACCCTCTGACTTGATATTTGCACCCCCTGTCTGATTTTTATATTTTTTCATATTTTTTTCATATTTCCATATTTATTGCTTTTATTTATTTTTTCTGAATAATAAAAATCCTAAAAATAATTTCTTTATTTTTTGCAATTTTATTTTATTTTTTTATTATTTTTTTTACATAAAAATTAGTTTATTATGATAAATAGATTTTATTTTCTTAAATAACTTATAAATATATTTAAAAATACTTATTATTTTTATTATACTATTTATACTCATAAATACTTATTTTTATACATATTTAATTTTTAATATTTACGTATAATATTATTTATTATTTTCTTGTACAAAAAATGGACAAAATAATAATAGGAAACATTATTTTCTTTTAATTAAAAAATTAGGGTTTCACCCCTTTCCAAAAATGATAGTATTTATTTTTTCCTTATTTTTTAGGGTTTGAATTAAATTATTTTTTTTCATACAAAAAACAAATACCAAAACATTTTTTACATAAATACATTGCATTGCATTTTAAATATTTGTATATTTATTTAATTCGCGCATTATTCGATTAGGTTGTAATAATATTGTTAGGTTTATATTTGTGCAAAATCCCCATTCAAAACTTGTATCCCCCCTCCCATAATAATTGTTGTAATAGCTTAGTTTATTTTACGCAATTTATTGCTTTATATACTATGCTTAGTAACTAAGGTTTGCATGACAAGAACAAAAACAAAGCAAAAATAGAAAACCCTAAATGTAATACAAAAGCATGAAAATGATACACATTGCACACAAGCACCCTTAGGGTTTCTCCCACTTGGTTGCCTAAAACAAAATGGCCATGTTACTCACGCGAAGTATCTTGGCAAAACAAAACAAATATAAGATCACAGTCCCTCGATGGCGCTATCAAAAGGTTGCCTAAAACAAAATGATCTTGGTCCCTCAAAAATGCTAAGATACTTGGCAACATTGCTATCATGGTCATACGATGACCCACGCCCGTCCCGTTTACATCCAAAGATAGGGTTGCTTACCAAATCAATGGTAAGTCAACAATGTCAAAGGAATAAAAATGCATAAGAAAGTCATTTGAGTAGGTAGATTAGCTTCTAGTTACTTGTTCAATTTCAAAACAATCCTTGCTATTTTCAGAAACAAACACATACACATTTCAAAACATCTTACAAAACATTGAAAACATTTTCAAAAAAGACAAACATATTTGTATACATTCTTACGAACGATAATCATTACAAAGATTGCCTAAACGAATGGCCTCTTTTCAAAATACTTTCAAACTAACACCAAACACCATTTCAAACAAAGCAAAGAAAGTGATCTAAACAAGTAACTAAGAGCCCATGGAAAACCATGGATGAAAAGGGTGCTAGCACCTTCTCTTTTCATAATCTACCCCCCGAACTCAAAAAACATCTCTAAAGGTCTTTCTTGTGCTTTTTCACCTTTCCTTTTTGGATAAAAGAAAAGTCGGTGGCGACTCTTGCTAACCGCAACATTTACGAACACAATTGCAAAACCTCAAGTCAGTTCTCCCACCGCATCACAGAACTGGCGACTCTGTTGGGGAAAATTCTAAAAGTGGGGTTACCTTAGGGTTTAGATCACCTTTATTTGCTTGCA